CAAAAATGTGTTCCGGGAAAGTAAGGCAAGTTCATAATTAGATAGACATCGTGAGGTATTTATTTTCGGTACAGTTTATGTTGAAACCGTTAGAGAGAGTGGCACACTTGTTAGCCTGTTCCATTCTTCTTTGTTTTCCTAAGCTGTGGCTTGGAAGTATACTTGCTTCGTTTCTGAAGGAAGTGACTTGGAAGTATGCGACTACCAAGCCAGTATCCTCGCGATTGATAAACGGCCACAGGGCCCTTCTCACTTCGGTTAAATGGATTCCTTGCGTCCGTCACTTGCGTCGTTTCCCTGCGACTAGTCCCTCCCACCAGGGAAGCATGGAGAGACGCAAGGAAACCACGGGAAGCAGGGAAATGAGTTTTAACAGCAATGGGACTGTCACTACGCGATCCATCACCCTGCCCGATCTGTACTGCGCATGTGCGAGATGGTCCGCCATATTGGACAACTCCGGACGGCAACCCAGCTTTTAGCAAAGCTCAAAAATAAAACGAGAGAGAGATGAGTTATTGTTATTACAACGTGACTTCACTATTATTTAACAACTATTTTTATTGGGTTCTTTTATTTGGGGTTAAGTACATTGTCAGAATAAGTGAGAAATGCATTTAACTTCTGTTAGACACCTATCATACTGAATAAATATTTACTGTGAATGTATGCACAAATGTATGGCATATGGCTGTCTAACAGAAGTTAAATTAATTTCTCACTTATTCTGACAATGTACTTAACCCCAAATAAAAAAAACAAATGAACCTTTATTTAAACATTAAATAATACTTTAGATTAAGGTCTTCTTGTAAATAAGAAAAAAGCTTTGGGGGTATCAAAAGATAAATATTAAGCCTGACAAAGTACTTAACGTCTAATATATTGCTTTGATGCAATGTTAACTATGTTGAAGCACCTATTTTAACTGATATTATACATATTATTCTTATAAGATTTAGGTAGATAGTATAAGAAATGTGCAGAATATGACAATTTAATGGTGGAGGTATACACACATATTGATAGATGTCTTCTAATGCAGGAGTTCCCAAACTTTTCATCCTGCGACCCCCAAAATAACAGTGCCAGAGACTGGCGACCCCCTGTCGACGGGACGGGACGGGGGGAGGGGTGGGTGCTAGTGAATTAATTTCAGTTTTCCGCACAAACACTGCGCTAGTGGATTGTCAAAGGGGGAGCCTCGTTGCGGGGAAATTATACAGATGGCTAGTCCGCCCCTGAAAATGTCTATGCAAACGTAATAAAAAAAATTAATCAATTTTTTTTTTAATTTTTATTTTCCATTTTTATTTTGTAATCTTCTAGCGACCCCCACTTTGGGAACCGCTGCTCTAGGTGGGTTCGGGGGCATGCTTCCCCGGGAAGATTTTTTTTTAAATATTGAAGTTAAAAGCATCAATCTGGTGCACTTTGAGAGCAAAATGAAGAGATCTATGGATACATCTCTCAACACCCATATGAAACAGAACTGTAAGATTTTTCTTTATGGATATTTTACAAATCCCTTAAACTGTATTCTTGTTTTGTCATATAGTATTTCTATTTCATAACTGTTTTTCATTTATTCCCTCTGGCTGTCCATCTCATAATGTTCACATAGAAACCAGCTGTCAATAGGAATATCATTCCGGAGAATTATAATTTCTTGCAAAAATTTGTCACAAAAAGAGGTTGCACATTTAAAGATTTGAAGTNGTGTGCCTTGGCATCTTGTTATTATAGACACATGCATTTCCAAACATTTGGTCTACCTATGTTGTAAATGTATTATCTTTTCGATTTACACACGGCATCTATTGCACGTCTGTCCGTCCTGGCAGAGGGATCCCTCCTCTGTTGCTCTCCCTGAGGTTTCTCCCATTTTCCCCTTTAAACTGTGGGGTTTTTAAAAGGAAGTTTTTCCTTGTACGATGTGAGGGTCTAAGGACAGAGAGGGTGTCGTGTTGTCATACTGATATTCTGTACAAACTGTGAAGTCCACTGAGACAAATGTAACATTTGTGATATTGGGCTATATAAATAAACATTGATTGATTGATTGATTGATAAGGAAGATAACAGGTGCCACTGATGAGATTATCCATGTCTTGTTCCATTGAAGTCATTAATTAACCACAGCTATACTGTGAACAGAAATAAAAGCATATTTAGATTCAAAGAAACAAGCTGAATATTCACCTATATGTGATTTACTGTAATAACTGCAATTTCCGAAAGCACTCATTCAATCAACGACAAAAGGCTGACCCCAAAGCTATGCTTCAATGAAGTGGCTCTCTTGATCCAGCACCATGGACAGAGTTATTCCGCTGAGGCAGCCAAGTCATCTTTCTGCTAACATCAGTTAATCATTTTTAAGCATTTGTGTGTCATATAATCCTTATCTATTTATATATTTTAAATTGTTGCTGTTGGTGCCACTCGCCGACTGGGTAATAGTACTGCCCAGATTTAAAATGAATCACAACATCCTCCACCCCAAACGTCAGCGTTAACTCTCTTTCTTGGACTGAAATTAATGTTGGAAATGTTTGCTGTTTTCTGTGTAAGGTCATTGAAACCAAGAGAGGTCAGGAGTGAAGAATAGTGTATTGATGTTGAGCATGTGAAGTACATAGAACATTAAATAAACGATAATACAAGTAAGGAACAGCCAAAAACAAAAATGCCCATCGTCTTTGAGGAGAGATTCTAGAGCTCTGTAGGCTAAGCTTAGCATAAAGACTAGAATCATGGTAAAACAGCTTGCTTAAACAAACATATAAAGGTCATATGTCACAGTCGATTGAAGTTTAAGTATTGCCTAATTATGTCCGACGGTGTCCTCTGTTTTATTGTTTTATGTGATACTGTTCTGACATCAAGCTTAGATTTTGCTCCGTCCTGTTCCAAAAGGATGGCTGCAGGTGAAGGGAGAATCATGAAAGGAATTAAATGAAATGTAAGGAGGAAAAAAATCTACTCCGGAAATTAGCACCCCATTAACACTTGAGTCGTATCATGCATCAGTGTTGTCGTGGCTTCCTATGAAGCCAATAGAGGCCTTAAACAGACATTTTGTACGTGTTTTCTTTCCTTTACATTTGTGTTACTGACAGTTTGATGAGTTGCTTGGCCTCCGATGGTAGGATGATGATGCAATGGGTTTGCTCAAAATAAAAATAAAATACTTATCACGCATGTATCCAAGGAAACAGGCCTTTACAATACTCAAAACAAATCAAACAAAAAAGGCAAAACTCAAATAAAATAATAAACAACTTAGGTATTGTTTCTTTCTTTCTGTTAAGGCTTGTATAACTTTAATGGTAACCTAATAAAGGGTAGTTGAACTGTTAAAAACTGTGCATCGACGGCGTCTTTCTAACAGGTTGCCCATCACTGTCACTTTTAGAGGAGGCGCCATGGGAATTGTAGTCTTTTATACTCTGTTGACTGCAAACGTCACGATTAGGTGGCCTTTCTTATAAAAACAAAATACTGGCTCTAAAAAGTGCTATTGGATAAGGCAGCAAGAGCAGGTCAGTTCATTTATTAGATGACAATTGAAGGATCTCCTGTTTTCTTCGTCTCCACTTGTTGCGTAGTTTGTGCGGCGCAGACACTCAGAGAGGAACACGGGGTGACAGGGCATTTTGTTCCTCTTGCTGATCCCCTGAGCAAAGATACAAAAAGCTGCATTCTTTCCAAAGATCCTGAATGATAACACAAGCTGCGGTGCCTTTGAATACCAGGTTAACTCATTATTATTGATGTGAGCTTTGAATTCCTGGACCATTCATCCGTCTCAGGCCTCCTTTTGAACTCAGAAATGTGTTTGCTTGTCAGACAATTGAATCACACATGCCGACTTAAAAGGATTTATTTTCCCTCAAATTCTCAATCGAATATACTTTCTTTACAGAACAGTTTACTATGTGCCTCTGTAAATGACCGAGAAGGGCAAATATTAGAAAGAAAGACAAATACAAACGGGGGATACGTTTAGTTATTTTCCTATCTCTATGTATCTCATGTACATATATGCAGATGTTATGAGCAATACAGGTTTGATAAATTGATTTACACATTAAGTTCAGTATTCTACATTTTTCCCCCAACATGTATCCCCAAAGTCACACATAACAAAGTAGTATTTGATAAACTGTAAAATGAAAAAATATAAATGCATTTTATAAAAGGATTACTAACAACATGTATGTGAGGAATTCCCCAAACATGGATGTATAGTATGCATATTACATCTTTCAATGTCAGTGCTGGCCTGTAAGTACAGTGATACACAGACAAAGTCCAACATGACCACTGGCACAGTGCTATCTCATATTATTACGATAGTAGCTGATCCTCGTCATCTGTTTCCATTATGTGTTTGCAGAACTCTGTCACGTTTTCCACCCTCTTTTCCCGGGTACAAACAGACATCTTTTTGGCGCTCCGGGCCTTCCTGCGTCGGACACCATCTTTCAGCAGCCCTTTGTGCTCCTATCAAAGGAGTGTCATTTGTTCAGGTGCTCGCTGCTCTCTTTCTCTCTCTCTCTCTCTCGCTGCCTCAGCTGGCACATTGTTTAGCGAGTGTTCATCCTCCGAGAGGACTCGCCTGAATCAGCTGATTCCTGGGCTCTCTTTGACCTGCTGGCTGCAGCTCTGAGGGAAAAAAAGTCAATTACATAATGAAAAATATGATCAAAATGAAGGTTAATCTGTGTCTTCTTGTCTTTGAAACTCACCTGAGGATGTTGAACATGTTGAGTTGAAGTCTCTTTCCAGATGTTTTTGGGGACGTGATTTCAGCACTGCTAACAAAGGAACAGCAGAGTTACCAAAAGTGACTGTTACATGTGAAGCCTAGACTCACCCTGACACTGCAGTTTGTCACTTTAAATGTTTTATTGATATTGCTACAGATAAAAACGCTCCGCATAGAGAGAAGAAAAACACTCTAAGGAGGTCAAAAAAGTCTTATCTTTACGGGCTCACTAAATGTTTCATGTTTCATGAAAACTATGAACCACATAAGCAGATATCATTTCTGTAGAAGTTTCCAAATGTAACACTCCCCGCAGTTTCGAGGTGGTGGCATTATTTGTTTCATTCTTAGGAAGCGTGAATTCTCAACATCTTTTCTTTTCTTCCTAACTCCCACGCACTTCACTCCTTAGGCCCTCTAAACCAATCAGAAACAAGCATTGTGAACTTTGTGCACCAGTTTGAGATTATTGTACTCCCTTAGCCCTCGGCTGAATTGTTTTTATGATCACACCCTCCATCAGGCAGGACTTTAGATTACACAGCAACAACACATTGAGGATAATAATAGCATTGCAGTGAAATTCGATTTCTCCACTCCTTGTGCTTCACAAAGGACAACAATACCAGACTGAGCAACTCATGATGGAAGCCACACGGAGGCCTGTAACTGCTACCTGACAGAATGTGGGCTGCTCACCGGTGACGACAGAAGTTTCTGCAGGTTTGATCATCAGAGCCGGCACAGGTGCAGCGTCCGGTCGACCTTCTGCGTCGAGACAGAGCGCTGCCAAGACCATACACTGTTGTCTTACTGCAGAGAGAGAGAGAGAGAGAGAGAGAGAGAGAGAGAGAGAGAGAGAGAGAGAGATGATATAAACATCCTGCATACTTCGCTCTTATAAAACCATGATCATAGCAAGTTCACTTAACAGATATTGGGCTCAAAGTGAGTGTGTCCGCCCTTGTTTGTGTCCCCATGTGTGTGTCCCTCATGCTCACCTGGGGGTGTTGACCCAGATGATATCCAGGTGGCAGAAGTAGTGGCACTCAGAGTCCAGCCGGTTGCTGCAGGAGCAGCGCTTGGTCCTCATTCTCTGTGTGGGGACACCGTCATCAACCTCCACTCCCGGCTGCTTCATCACCGGAAGACCAAAACCTGTAGTGCAAGACAGAGAGCCACTCAGGGACAGTGTCCAAACCAAGCATCACACCAACTGTCAGTGGCCTCTGCTTTGACTGTCTTTCCACTCTTACTGTTTTTCAAAACACAGAACAGATGGATACGTTACATCACTAGTCTATTGTGTACATTTACAAGTGACAACAATGAAGAAGCTCATCAACAATTTTCCCTTTCTTCCAAACTCATAAATCTTGACCTTAAACAGTGAGCAAACAGACTTCTGTAAAGAATAGGAATGTATAAATTCCTTTTGTCTTCATGTCAATAAAGACTCCATTTAAAAGTTTAACAAATGATCCAAAATCTAAGTAATGGGTTTTATTATTTTATATGAGAAAGCCTGCATGAATTGAGTCAAAACACTTCATGCTCCTACTACTTTCACTTGCGATATTACAGGAATCGAGTACAAACTGTATATCAATATTCAAAGAGTCACATTTAGTGGGTTTTCTGTAACAACTGGATCCTTTTATGTTTTCTAGGCTTGCCAAAACACGCAGATGCACCAACATACAGTGATAACAGTCACTGCTTTGTGACTGAGAATAAAGCCAGTGCTGACGAAAGCACAAAGCTTTAGCTATGTTTTTCGAAATGTAATTGAAAAATATTTTACATCATGCATACCCAACTAACACAAGTAAATACAATTGTAAAAAATGGACTCACCATCCTCCATGGAAGCCCAAAGAGTGATGAGAAGAAGAGCGCTGGTGTGAGCTGACATATTAGACGCAGAGTTTGATATCCGTGCAGCTGTGTCTCTGATGTGCTGCTGCTGTCTGTCTGCAGGTGTCCAAGCTCTGTCACTCTTATACCTCGCCCCTTCCTCTCATGATGTCACAACAAGAGCTCCACCCAGGCCTGCCATGGAGACTCAGGGAACAACCTCAGGGTGTTCGAACCTGTGACATATTGCAGTCATTTCTGATGCTTTGTGCAGTCACCTGGTGAGTGACTTTAATATCCGCAGTTTGCCTTTCAAATATTTTTTTTTTAATGGTAGAGCTCCTTAAACAAAGACTGATGTGAGAGACGATTCAGTGTATTCTGAAACACTACCAACTTAAAAAAAAAATGAAAACCTAAGTATCCTTTGAATCTGCAGCCTCCTTCTTCCTAACATAGATTTATAGAGAGTTTCAGCTGACTGCTTATCTGTCCTGCAAGAAACGTTATTGTTTTATTCACACGCACTGCTCTCATAAGGTTGTTTTTCGCTGAGCTGGCAGCTGTTTTCAGCATCATTTTTATCAACTTAAGACATAAATCAACGCTTAAAAACAAAATATTATATTTACTTCAATAGGGGGACTAGAAACTCCAAATGAATTACAATATTCCTAAGTAACAGTGTTTACAAAAAAACTGTTATGCTATCAACTTGAGAACTGGTGAGTGTTTCTATGGTCCAAAAAAAGTAACGTTTGTTTTAATGGTGCCACTGTCCCTAACTAAATCCCAGAGTTACATTTGACGGAATTGATGCCTCCATGATGGCTAGTGGAGGCCCGCACAGATAATCACGCTGCTCCAAGCTGCCCCGGCCCCCCCCCCACGTGGTGCGCAGTGTGCAGGTCAGCCATGCCAGGGTCAAGCAGATCGCCACATGGCAGCCTTCATTCATTTAAATACAGTCAATTCACATTCAGATTAGTGGCATGAATATTATCTTCTCTTACATCATTTCCCGAAGGACGACAGATGTCTCTCTTCTGATCGAGAAATGGACAACTAAATATGAACATTTGGATTAAATTGGCCTTTTTTCTTTTCTAGTGGAGCATGCTGTGTTTTTGGGATGGACAGGCCTTTGTTTTGAAAGCTGGATGTGTAATCACTTAACCTTGTCAGTTGTATTTGTTCAGTACTAGGGAGGATGAATATACATTTTTTCCCCATTCACCTTTCTGTGGACAGTGTTTACATAAAGGGGCTCATAATCCTCTTCCCATGAAGCCTGACACCTAAACATATAGAACAGTGCAGAGAGCAGACTGTACTTTTCCTCTGTGCAGGGGGCGAGCAGAGCATGAAAACATGTGTCAATGAAAATGTGTTGCAGAACAGAAGTGACAAATAGAGGCAAAATTAGAAGTTAAAACATTGCAATAATAATGTATTATACCTTCAACATTTCCACACACTGTAATGTGTTTATATTTACATTTTGGGGAGCTTGAATGCACAATTCTTCCTGAAGAAGTAACCAGTAGGGGTCCCTTAATCAAAACACTAACACAAATTGGTGGCAGTGTGCTTGGGATCAGTACTGTCGTCATTATGTCCTGCAGGGGCTGTGATGCGGGCTGCCACTAATGTTTGCTCAGCTTGTTTCTTTATAACTAAAGCTCCAAATTTTCAGGATTTTTTTTACCAGGCAGTATAAACACAGAGTTCTCATTTTCTCTTAAGTCAAACAGGCCCAGAGATTTAAACCATGTTAACAAATCTGTGTTTCCTCTGTTTGGCTGCTGATAAATCCAGACTTCAAATCTTTAAATGTGCAACCTCTTTTTGTGACAAATTTTTGCAAGAAATTATAATTNAGTCCTGGATTTCGAGTCTTGGCTGAACCTGTCATTGTGGTCCTGCCTGACTTTCATCATACTACTTCCCTGATGGCTCCCACAGGATTGTTGACATCCAGGATGTCAACAATCCTGTGGGAGCCATCAGGGAAGTAGTATGATGAAAGTCAGGCAGGACCACAATGACAGGTTCAGCCAAGACTCGAAATCCAGGACTCAGATCTAGGACTCAGGATCCAGGACTCAGGATCCAGGGCTCGCGATCCAGGACTCAGGACAACAGCAACAGGATCAGCCACGACTCAGGATCCCGGCCTGGATAGACACCAAAAAGAAATTTGGGGGAAGCTGGGTTATTTGGAACATGAGAGTACACTGGTACAGACAGAGAGAAGGAAGAAGTAAGGTGTCCCCCGACAGTCTAAGCCTATAGCAGCAAAACTAGGGGCTGAATCTAATCAGCCCTAACTATAAGCTTTACCAAAAAGGAAGGTCTTAAGCGCACTCTTAAAAATGAATAGGCTGTCTGCCGCCCGAACACAAACTGGAAGCTGATTCCACAAAAGTGGAGCTTGATAAGAAAAGGCTCTGGCTCCCATTGTACTTTTAAAAACTCTAGGAACAACCAACAACCCTGCATTCTTGGAATGCAATGCCCTACTAGGACAATAGGGTATAATGAGTTCTTTAAGGTAAGATGGCGCCTGCCCATTAAGGGCTTTGTAGGCGAGAAGAAGAATTTTAAATTCTATCCGGTGTTCTATAGGGAGCCAGTGTAAGGCAGCCAGAACAGGAGTAATGTGGTCCCTTTTCCGAACTCTGGTTAGTACACGAGCTGCAGCATTTTTAATCATCTGAAGCGACTTAACTGACTTCTTGGTACACCCTGATAATAAGGAGTTACAATAATCCAGCCTTGAAGTAACAAATGCATGGACTAGTTTCTCTGCATCGTTATGAGGCAAGATATGCCTGATTTTTGCAATGTTACGTAG